TTTAAAGTTTTACACAATAAAAAGGCTATTGAAAACTATATTCCATATAACCATTTCAACATTTTTCTGTGCACCTTAAAGTAACATTTACCAACATAAACATGGTATAGCGCTTAAAGGATTACCCTGCTGAAGCAAGCCAAACAAATGTTACTTTGATATCAAACATATCTCAAAATTGCACAACTTAGCCCAAGAACTTTACTGACATTGTAAAAATCTGTGTTTCCCTGATATCTCAACTGGCAGCCCAGCATCTCACCAGGTACATTACTGTAAGCTGTGAGCTGGTGGGGCTCTGGACAGCTTGTGTCTGTCATGAGTAGTTATGTGTGCGATCCTGATTGTTTGGGAAGCGAGCCAAACCTGCTGCTGTGCTGTAGATGAGAGGTGGTATGGATGAGATGCTGCGTGTAGGAGAGGTGTGGAGAAAACAACATCTATCAGGCCAACCCACTGTGGCATAATGCTGTGTATCCACAGTCTCAGGGCGGGAATTAATCCTTTGCCAAGTAAAATAAGTGTGGAGGTATTTGTCATCAAGGCACATAAACAACTTCCACAGTACAACAATGTACCAGTCCATCTTACCATCTGTTTACTGCAGTGGGACACATTGCATCACTTTAGTCAGTTTGGCCATCTTTTTTTGGGCCAGCACTGGTCCCAGATCAGAGTTGTTTTTAGTGATGCTGTGTTACACTTGAACCTACGGAATGAAGGTTTAATTTAACGAGACTGGTAGGTTTCAAGGATGTGATTTATTAAAATGTTGCACCTTTTTAAAAAAGCAGTTGGGATCTTTTCTTCCAGATAAGTGAGACAAGGTAGCTGAAAGCTTTGATTTAAATCCTCTGTGTTTATTTTCAATCCTTTTAAGTCATCACTCGGCATGCAACAATCACACAAAAAGACTTGGAATCAAACAACATGATGGAACACAAAATACTGAAATCACTCGACTTACAGAAACAACTTTTCTAACTCTGGCAGGGAATAGTAAATGCAATGCATTATACACAAGGGGATAATTAAGTAATAAGGTTTTCAAGGCCTTTAAATGGAAAATAAGGAGTACAGAATGGGTGAATGCTTTCTTCAGAATGGGTTTTCTTTTCTTTTCTTTTAGTTTGAATTTGTGATTACAAGCAAACAGATATAACTAATTCTACCCAGACCTCTGCATTTTTCTAATAAGCTCCACGACAAGAAATGTGGTAAAACTAGGATAAATATTGGAGAAGCTTTGGAAAAATGGAGAAAGGTTAGAACGCAGAATGGTTTCAAGACAGACGCGCTGGCTAAGCACTGAAGCTTCAGTGTCCGTGACCTGGAAACCGGCGTGACTTGACTCTAGGGAGGAGGGGGCGGGGGGAGACAGCTCAATTTAATGTTATGGATTTCGACTGCAGTACCCATTCTAAACACTGTGTGTCAGAGTTACATATTGCTCCTTTAACCATGTTACGCCAAAGTAGTGTGTATTATGTTAAACTATGAAGACATATGTGTGCATGATGGGACTACTTAAACGCCTAGCTGCCTACTGCTGTGTCACATTTTGCTGCTCTGATTAGTTCTAGCATCTAGGAACATTTTGGTCCGAGCCATTGAGTATGTTCCTTTCAAATGGAAAATGAACAGAGAGGTTCCAGAATAATTTGCATATGCATATAGTGTAATGAAATAAATAACTGAAATCAATACATTTTCTGAATAGACAGAGGCAGCAGCCTACAGAGAAATGTAATATTCTGTCTTTATCCTTTGCATCCATGTTCTTCACTCATATAACACATATTGCACTGTCCATGAGTCAACAGCGTCACATCCTCCGGTGTCTATCTTTTTTGACTGTATAGAGAATGTGTCTTCAAAGAAATGTAAGGCCGGCTTACCGAGGGAAATAATCCCATCAAATTGGGATGAGGGCAGCAGCTCTTGAGACTAGACAGCAATAACACTTCTGCCTGAGACCAAAGGGTTTTTATTAATGAAAAACAAAAATGAAAAAATGCTGCTGCCGTGTTCTATACAAGCAGAAATTATAGACTACTCCTTGGAACCTAAACTTTTAGAAGTGCTCTCAGCATTAACTTGTATATTTATATAATTATAGAGCATCTCAGACGCATTTCAGAAGTTATTTTGTAATTGTGTGTTGTCTTTTACCTTTCTGCCAGGTTTGTCTCAACTTGCTTTAACCAATCTGTTCTTTCGTTTACACCGCCTGGTACAATATCAGCTCTACTAGTCTGCTGTAGTTGATTGACGTTAATCAAACTGACATAATGAAAGGAATGCAGAGGAAATGTTGTCCAGGTCATGATACTCATTTATGTTGTGTTGAGATACAGGTGATCACAACTTTGTCAACAACAAAAAGACACACGTGCTTCCAGTTCTAAATAAATGTTTTTTTCTGCACACAGTCTTGTAGTACTTCGGCCTGCGCCTTGAAGTTAAAATTAGGACAGAAGTCATGTTTTAATGTTTTTTCTTACACCTTCTTATAGTGATTAGTATTTTGTTGGTTACTGTGTTATGTTCTTCAAAGGTGAAGGTCACAGAGTCAGAGTTTAGATCAGATCAGCCTTGGTGGCTTTGTTTGTCATCATGGTTCTTATAACAGGCTGCCCTACAGTCACTTTCAGAGAATAGGGTGCCCTCCAACAGCTCAGGTCACTCTAGATTGCATCAAAGGTCTGTTGGCGTTGACTATATCTCTGTGTATTTTAATAAACTGCTGTGTGCGTGTGTGCGTGCATGCGTGCGTGTTTGGTGGTTGTCTGTTTTCTGCCTGCATATCATCTGTCCTGTTCACCTGTGTCTGTCCTTTCCTTAAGGTATGCCTCTCTGTCAGATTGCATGTCTCTCCTCTGATTGTTTCAGGTCACTCTGTGCTTTCTGTCACGACATTTTGAGGAGGAAAAATTCAGTCTAAAGAAAATGGCTGTTGGGAAAACCCTCTTAGAATTTGTATTATCTTTGCATAAAACCCTTTTCCTTAAATCACATCGGTCATTCCTCGTGTGTAAGTCCACTGAAGAGGTAAAATAGAGAATATGGCAGCTAAGCATGAGTTTCTCATTTTTACTCTCTCCTTAATGGATTCTTCTTAGAATTAGATAATTCTCTCTGAAAGGAATGGCATCTAGTTTTTTTTAAACCCTGTTTCCTCTTTCTCATTGTCTCATCACCTCTACACTTTTACTTTCTTTTCTTTTAGCCCTATCTGTTGGCAGCCTTTTGTCCTCTTCTTACCTCCCTTATCCTTATCTCTCTCTTACCTTTTTCCTCTTCTTTCTCTACTTCCACTTCTCACTTTTAGTCCTCCCCCTGAACCTTTGTGCCTGTCTTTTCCCCCTCCTCTCCTTTCCGTGCACTTCTCTCCGCTTTAAGCCCAGTCACTCTCTCTGTTCACTTTTTTTAATCCGTCTTCTTTTATTGTTTGTATCTTCTTATTTCCTTTGTCACCCTCCCCTGTCCTCCCTTATTCACCCACTCCTCTAGTTTACCCTCCTCATTCACCTTTTTTCTCGACTTCCTTTGACGTTTGAAGGAGAGTGGGGATCCGCTCAGCTGACAAAGGGAGAGGCGATGACGTGATATGATACACCACACCAGCATCTGCTCTGGTCTAAAAATACACACCACAGGGCACACACACTCAGTCTGCAGCTGCACTCAGCATTTGTGTTCCACCTCCATGCTTTACTGAGATGGCCCAGCTTTTTACTAGGGCTTATGGGAAATGCTGCGTTACTTTCTGCTGTCCCACAACTGAGCTTCCTTCATGTGTGAGGTTATTTGGGGACAAAGTTTCTAGGTGGATGAAGGGGGTCAGGCAGAGGCTGGGTACTAAGATTAGAGGGCATGGGATAAGTTTCAGGCTAACAGCCAACATGCCATTTATGAATGAATTCAATCATTCATAGAGTAGTAAGGTTAAAAAGCTCTTTGCCTTCATGGTAAATTAAGCCCACTAAATGTGATTCATTGATTAAAAGTGAGGTGTAAACCTGATTTGACACAGATTTAAGAAATGTCTAAAATTAGTAACTGTAATAATTTATTTAACTTCATTTTAGCAGGTCCCATTGAGCAGGTTTTCTTTTCTAGTTTAGTGACAAAATATTAAAATATTTCATTCTCCATATAAAAGTGTGTATTTTATATCCCCTTTGACTTTTAAAATTTGCCTCTTTTATTTTTATAAATTGTTTTATTATTATAAGTATAAGAAGTAATCTGTATATCTGTATAAGAAGTAATAATCCTAGCTAACATTAGCTGGCTAGCTGTTTGTGGATGAGCTTTTGGTTTTGTTAGCGGTGTTGTTTTTGTTGTTTTTAAATTCTGCATGTTTGCTATTTAACGACTGTGGCTCAAATGTAGTGTGAATCAGACTGTTGAATCAGGAAGCACTCTGCCCCCCCCCTGTCATTGAGCAAGGCAGTGAATACCTGCAGCTCCTCTGGTCCTGCACAGTGGAGGATGGTAAGAGTGCTCAGCAGCGCTCTGGTGCTGAGTGGGTGTTTGTGTGTAACCCTCTCTGACCCTGCGCTCACTCCCTGAGGCCATCTCTGTAAATAAGAATGTGTTCTTAGTGAAGTTGCTGGGCTGAATAATTAAAGTACTTTTCATCTGCACTGCTTTTGTGCTCATATATACCTCCTTCAGCAAATATATTTCTGTTCTTTTCTCTCTGCTCTGTTATCTATGCTGAATCTGCTTCTTTCATGATGATTGGTGCTGTGGTTTTGATATTTAAGCTATTTAAATGCTTACCTGAATATAACGTTTTTCTTCCTGAAAGTAAGGCTTTTGAATCTACTCCTTTATTTTTTCCAGAATAGCATCAATTCTAAATGTGTGTTTCTTGTTTAAATATATATATATATATATTTGTTTTAATGTGTGTCTTTCTCTTTTCTCTCTCCTCTCTGTGCCTGCGCGTGTCCTTTGTCTGTGTGTTGCTGCTGTTGGCTTGTAACTAGGGAAGTGGAGCAGGCAGGTCTGTCAGATTTGGAGATCATCTCGCAGCCGGTGGAGGATGAGCACCAGTGCTCGGCTCCTCCGGTCCAGCTGGTGAGTTTTGGCTACAGAGATCTGCCCCTCGCTGCCCTGGACCTCTCATTGGCTGGCTCGCAGCTCCTCTCCAACGCAGATGAAGATGAAAACAGGGAAGGGTGAGTGAAACTAGGAATATTTGTTATTGCAGTTTTTTTTTATATTGTCAGCCTCTTTGGAGTGACACACCTGTGATCACTTATTTGTTTCAAAGTGCTTTTTCTGTGTACTAAGACTACAGGGAGGTGTGACTGACACACTGGTGGTATTTTAACGTACTGCAGATGACTTTCATGAAGTCTTTTGGAAACTGAACAGACACGCACATTCAGAATTAAGCCAACCGACCCATGCATTTTTTAAAGCTCTGATTTAAAAACATCTAAAACTCAATCATACTGTACATTATTCATTCTGGAGACCAGTGGGTATTTATAATATATAAATTCTGAGCATATAATATGTTAAAAAAACTGACCAGATTAAAGGTACTAATTTATACCCATATAGCATTCTTACCCATTTGTGTAATAAAGAAAATTACGTTTTCACTTTCTCTCTACTTTTCCTTTACATGTTGGTACTTATTTGTCATTCTAGGTCACAAAAAAGGCCCAAAATGAGCTCAAAGTGCTTAAAAGATGAAGAGCCTGCTTTTCAAACAAAATCAAATACATACATATAGTTGCAGAGCATAAAGTCCAGAAAGCATCTCACTGGAATTCTTTGTCAGCCTGTTCTTATGGTGATTGTCAATCCTACAAAAATGACATTACGAAACAGACAAAACATTGTTTGTTGCAAAGGAAAACCTCTTTAAGCGTCCCTCTGTAAGGTAAACTATATGATGTGATGTATATATTGATACCTCACATTATTAAATGTAAGGGGTTGTAAGCGAATACACTTGTTTCTAACAATAACCAGAGATGCTCATAGACTGGAGGAGTTACAGTGACCTGATACAGAGACAAACGGCTTGAGACAAGAGAAGATAGGACATTGAAATGGTCAGGAGATGCATCTGATGGGAGCGACACCAAAACTGTCCTCCAAATGGATTTAATACGTTTACCTTTGTTGGAATCACACACAGTTGAAAGAGAAAAGATTCTACTAAAATGATGCTGCATAACTGTGTGCACAGAAAACAGACATAAGAATCATCACTTCTACCACAGATTATTTGCTTGTGCTCCCCTACCAATGACTACTATGTCTCCTTCATGATGGAGTCCTGAGCAAACAGAAAGTGTGGGAAAGCTGCCACTTCCAGGAGTGACTTCACTGTTACAAAGCGTGGCCTGTTCTTACTACTCGACCTGAGTGTTCTTTGTGACGTTAGCAGACCTCAGTATTGCTCTTAATTAGTAACAAATTCATTTCTTTCTAATTCCAGAAAGATTCATTAGCGATCTTGACCAGCCTTGATTTAAAGTCTGTAGTCCGAGACCGAGACAAGACTGAGTAAAAATGATTGTCTCGAGACCGGTCTGGAGACCAAGACAGATTTCAAGCATTACAACACTCATCTGAGAGACAGAGACATTTTCCAAGCAGGGGTGGCAACTTGATGACAAAGAGATGTCATCAAGTTGTATTATAGGAAATACAGGATCCACAGTTTATGAAGATTGATTTATGCCATGGATTAAATGTCAAGACATCTCTGTCTCCAGAGCTTCTACTGTATTGAGTTACTTTACAATCTGTCTATTGTCAGTCACAAACATTTTTACTGTGTGTAACTACATTGTTTTACAGTTCAGCTTTTTTCCATTTTTTTGCTCTTTGACTACACTACACAAAACATGCTTTACAAACCTCTTTTTTTTAGTACTTTCACAAATGAACTTTCAAACTAAATAGCATCCACAACGCTCTTTTTTGTGAAACAAAATAGTTCAGTGTTGCAGGATACAGTACATATATCTTAGGGGAAATATGCCTCACACATAATAGTTTCTCTGTTAATAAGAACTTTATAGTTTTAGGTGTCATCCAAAATATTTTATTACGATTTTATCAAAAAGCATCTAACACATAGTCACACACACATGCACATGTCAATGCCTCATCACACTTTAAGAAATGCCACATAGTAATACAAGATTATCATCCATCATGTGTTTAGTATCCAGCCTCAGTCCTTGTCATGCTGTCCCTGTTATTCAGGATGGCTCCCATTTATCATTAAGTGACAACCTCTGGGTTACCCAGCATCCATAAGTTAAGTCAGATCTATTCATCATTCTAGACTATGTAATACCCCCCCCCCCCCCACCCCCTAACCCTGCCTGCTTACAGTAGGAGCAATTGTTATGAGACACATAAGACAAAAACCGAAAACATTGCATTCTACATTTTTTGCCAGGCATTTGCCCTGTTTAACTAAACATACTATCATATTTTATTATTTTATTGGGTCTCACATCAGTGTTCAAAAGCAGGCTGCTTCATGTTGTATTCTAACTCACATACCCTTGTTTGGTGACTTCATTAAAATATTGTTAAAAGTTATGATAATGTAAAACCTTTGTTCTTTTTCCAGACCGCTTTTTCTTCTACATCAGCCTTAAATGTATCATGCATTAATAAGGCTTAATCATATAGGTTGCATACAATTCAAGTTCATGATATCAGAAAGCAGCTTAATACAAACCAAAAGTGATGAGTAATACAGACATCAAAATCAATGCAAAATCGACCAAAAAAAAGGCTGCATTGCATCTGTTTGTTTTTCTGTTTGTCCTGATTGTGTGAGATCCTGGTATGGCATATGGATATGAGGTCACATCACAGCTATCCATTTGATTAGTCACAACATTAACAGATTTTTCCCCCCTCTTTTAAAACCTGCCCACTGTCCCGTCTTTCCATTTTGTTCCGTAACTGTGACTCAAACCTGGCTCTTAACACACCCTCTCACCATGATGCACATAAACACACACACAACAAATCCATACACCCTTCTTCATCCAAATACTCTGTTTGACACCATATCAGGTCTCACTCCATTGGTTCCCTGCAGTTAGCCAGTGACGGCCAGAAACAGATGGATTTCACAGACGCACTGTCAACAGTGGGCGGTGCCGACACTCATACTGTGACTGTATCACAACCCTCACGTGTCCCATTTCATATCAGTGTCAGTTATAGGAAGTATTTCCATCTCCATGCATAATGGATAGGTGTGTGTGTGTGTGTGTGTGTGTGTGTGTGTGTGTGTGTGTGTTTACCAAAAACATTTGGTGTACAGTGATTAATTATGCATACAGCATTTTCTACTGTGGCTCAACCTGTGAAATACCTGTAAGTTTCGGCTGATAACTGGGTCACAGGCCTGCTGTTGTTGTTGGGTAATCAAAATATGAAACTACCAATAAGTTCAAATGAGCTTTGGTCCGAGGGCGAGATGCTAAATTTCTCCTCCTGGTCCTGAGCCCCTGCTGAAAGAAGCTCCTACAACCAATTTACAAGTCACCGCGGTGAAGGTTATTTTACCAGTGAGCTCAATTTACTCAAACTGTGCTCGGTGCGATGGGGTCACTATTTCATATTCAAGTCATTAGTGCAAAATGTCGGCCTGTACAAATGCTGCCAGTGGGAGTTGTAAAACTCATCATTCTTTCTTTTGCTTAATGAAATTCCATTTAGAACCACCAGGCATGAGCTCCAGTAATGTGCATGTTACATCTCCACTATACCTTAAACGCTGCACTAATCCCTCCCATTAATCACTATTAGCAAGCCTTGTGTCTGCCATTATATTGGGAACTTGCATCGGCGGTTCCTATACCTCTTTCTTTCTTTCTCTCTGTGATAATAGAGGTGAAATATCAAGAACACCTGCTGTTTGCGGCTCTCGCATCACATCAGATGTAAGTGCTAACCTGTGAGATTTCTAGACAGAGTTTCGATTACTGACCAGAAGCAAGGAGCCGCATCGAGAGAGAAAGCTGAGAACATGCAAAGAGGCGTCCTCTGACATTAAGAACTAGTCGCCAGAAACAGCAAGATAGCAAGACAGAGTCTCACTGAATGTGTCAGTCAGCCGGCCCCCCCCCCCCGATTCTTTATATTCTGTGGATTTCAGCACCGCTGGGGCCTACGGTGATTACGCCTGTGCCTCCATCTCCTCATTACCGTATCGATCTTCCTCCTAGACAGTGGTCATTAGTCTGCTTTAATGACGTCCACGATCACGATGCCTGTGCACCATCATCATGTTTTACAACGATTTCCTGCGGCAGTTGGGGGCTTTGACACCAGCTACCCCTTAGTTGACTTTGTTGACTGTCATTACAGAATGTAAGCACCTTCAGGCCCATTTCTGTATTTGCTTTCAGGATGCAAAATGGAAAAGCTTGAGTCCATCTAGCAGGGAGACTGACTGTAAAACTCACCTTTAGGGAAATGGGGCAGAGGAAATGAACACTTTTATGGGCGTGTGGAACTATGAAGTGAAGTTGAGACAGCAGAAGTGGGATAGCCATTAAAATGAAAGTATATGTGGAAGAGGAATCTGTTGGCTGCTCTACTGACTCTACCTGGGAAAGTGGATTGCCCCCCCCCCCCCTTCCCAACTAAACCCCCAGGCTGCATTAACTGGATCATTGGCTTTCTGACACATTAAAGGAGCGTCATGAAGGAAGCTGCACATGGGAAATGTTGAGGCAAGCTCAGCACTGATGTTTGGCAAAATGAGAGCGCGTGATGCTGACAGTGAGAATGTCACAACCACGGTGAAGGTGTTTCATCAACATGGTGCTGCCTCATTGGGTGGGGAGTTATTTTCACTGCAAGTTTAGGAATGTCTCATAGTCAGTGAAACTTCTCTCACCTTTTCATTCCAGCATTCCAGATAGAAAATTAATGGAAGTAAAAAATATACTAAATAAAAATGTATATTTTGTGGATGTAATTAGTTGAAAGTTTAACTTCAAATTCAATTAACCAGCTTGTAGTGTTTCAAAATGATTGAACTAATCAGTTTTGTTGACTTTTCCTTGAAAACAAAGTTTGTTTTTAAATGTTCTCTACATTAATAAGAATAGATACTAAACCTGTAGAGCTTTGTGTATAATGGTGTGTGTAAACTGTAATGTTGCAACCTATT